TAAATTAATTGCGTAATTTAAAAATTGTGGCTCCTTATTTGACTCCAATTGAATCGTACAAATGATTGTTATTGAAATAAACATTTTGATTATTCTCAACTTATATCACATTAGTGAATAACGGAATTAAATAAGTTAAATACGAGAATCAAGTTTTGAATACGTATATTTTGTACGCTCATTGATCTGGACAGACGATCAGTGAGACGAAACAAAGAGAAGAGAGCGAAGTGAAATGACACTCAGTGAAGTGAGCCAACTCCATTAAATTAAGAGTTAATCAATATTTATGATCACACAAAAATAAGCTACAAACATGTGGTGAGTAGAATAAGCTGTACACATACATACGCTCATATAAAAGTCTTTGTGTAATAAAAGTGAAGTTACTCTGTTATTTATTAGAAGTAAAGAGTCTAAAACAGGATGAAACACAGTGTCTTACAATTTCCAGGTTCATATTGATATTCATCCAGATGAGTTAAAATTATACATTTACATATCTGGCGTATGAAAGATTAACACTATCAATTTATTGTTAAGATAGTCTTTTGATATTGTCAGTTGATTGTTAATTTTCACCACGGATTGGTATCAGTTTGTAGCGGTAAATAAATCCCCAAAATAAATAGCTCTGTAAGTCTTCGACATCGGATGCTGACCATATTAGTTTTAATGGACTCACCTAGCTGAAGGCGCCCGGTCATGCATCCGCACCAGATCACGAGTGGTAACACCGTGCTGAAGAACACCTGCAATCGCTAACCAGCCTATTTCAGTCGATCCACGACATAATAATAACCTGTCAAATATATCTTCGAACCTGCTCACTTCTGTCTTTTGATTTCACTTGGTGGGTACGATTCATATTAGGTGTTACTGGTTAAAACGTTGTCAAACTCCAAATACCTGTAGCATCTTCAAGTTTAACACCAGGAATCACTAAATAATTACTTTATCTTAGTCTGAAAATCCTTGGCAGCGTGCATTATTGACCACATAACGAATAGAATTCAAGGAATACAGATTTCATGGTTAGCGAAAAATTCTTAAACCACTGAGTCGGTCTCAAATGGATCGTGTTTTTAACGTCAGGTAACTTTAATCTCTGATGGTAAGCTTCTTTAAATTATTGTGATATTCATTAATCTTAATGATGAATTTTGTTACAAACAATAACTTACATAGTAATAAACTCATAATAACAATTAACCAAATGTGAAACAAGTAACTTTTTTTACATAATACACTAAAGAACTGAAAACATTTAGAAATTTGCACGGAATGGTTACCTTTAATGTGTGAATATTACTTATATAGAACCATTTTTTATATTTACACATAAATATTGGTACAAGGGGGCACCAAATATATATGCGCCACACAAAACAATGAGAATAGGAGGAGAAAAATGGTAAGGTGCGTATAAGGAAAAAAGAACAATAACGACCACAGGTTAGTGTGAGGTAGTGTAATAATAACAATAATAATATGAATTGTTTGACTGTTAATTGAAGCGTGAATAGAATTTTCAGTAAATAACGTCATTTTCATTTTATTTGTGTGTGGGTTGTGATACTGCCCGGGTGCCCAAACCGAAGCAGGTGGTTTTCTTAGGGGGCTACACCCCGAGCCTTTGACCTAAAGGTCTGACCCACAAGGCAGTGGAGCATCGTAAGGAGATGCAGTCCCATGGTAGCCGGTGACCAACGATTGGTTCATACGCCATTTGTTCCCGCAGGATACTGGAGCCCATGTCCACCATTGGTTTGGAATCCGGTTGAAGCGCCGGACATTCGCTTTTCGTCCTCTCATTTTCGTAAACAACACCCCCGCCACGAGAAGGTGGTGAGTAGGACTTCCCTGGCAGAGGCTGTATACGTGTGGCCGTGTGAGAGCATTTCGAGAGAGAGGGCCATATCAGGGCATTTGACAGCTATATAGAACTAACTTTTATCTTAAGCAGGTTACAGTTATAAGAAGATAAAAAAAGAACAAACATTAAAGGTTATTTAATTTTGCTGAAATAATATACGGTTGTTCAATAGAAAATAATCAAAAATAATCACATTTAAACTGACCTTATCACCTAATTAAAAAAAAGGATAAAATTCCCTATTCATATGTAATTTGATATTTGGAATAACAAAGAAAATTATGTTTATTAGTGAATTCATTTTAAATATATATATATATAAGTGAATAAGGAAATAAAGATACCGTATTCTCGTTACGTTCTTACATGTATAAGTATTTATTGTCTAAGATTAGTTTGTAAAATGAATAAATTTGTTAGGCAGTTGACAACATCACAAAGATTCAGTCTGAGGGAGTTCATCTGAGCATTATTTTTGGCTTCAAATAATCTGTAGGCTTGAAATAGTTATGATTGATTGATCACCGAATACTGACCAATATTGGTCATAATCTGCATTGTTTAATAGTTACGTTTCAAGCTACAAACATTGATGACACGGATTCGAACCTATCAGGGGATATAAGTTCTCTCAAGATTACAGCTATATCTTGCTGATGAGAAACAAATATCACGAAATCTGGAACAGGTAGAATTTCCTATGGTAGTTTTGTTCCCAAACTATCAGTAATTAAATATACGAAGTAATGACTGACTATGAATTAACACAGCCATGTAAACTTATCCCTAAAACCTTCCCACAAATGACTTATTATTTTAGGTAGCTGAGGATACATTTTTCATATTGTGTTTGGACGAATTGTTCAAGGTGAGATGAAATTTGATATTTTATTGTCTTAGGTGATGCGAACATAATACTTTTTTTCTTACAACACACCATATTACTAAGAAGTTAACTTGATATTATGACAATGATTAGCAGGACTGAAAAAATTATCGCGAATATAATAAATATATATTTTTTCTTATATCCCAATGAGTAGAAAAATTGTATTTCTGACGTTTCGTGACTTAATGTAAGCCATTTCTTTAGTGTGAATAAAAAAGCTCATTGCGATATAGCAAAAAATATATTTACCATTAATTCACTACCCAATGCTCAATTTATTTAAAACTATTAAATCCAACATTGATACTAATACTGTAGTGAACGAGAACACAAATGGGGCACAATTCAATATATTTCAACACAAAATTACAGGACATATTAGTAAAATCTGAGAACCACGCAGTAAATACTTCATTTGCAAAATGTCAACCAATTGTCACAAACTTGACTGTTCCTTTTGCAAATATCAGTCATTCGTCTCAGACTTCATTGTTCTTGCATTTCCATACAGATCGCTTTCTGTTCCTGATCTTTCTTTTTCGACCTTTTGCTGCTAGATATTCTATTCTTGATTACCGTTATATACTACTTATGTCGACATAAGTAGCACACACCACAATATCACTAACATACTATTATTTTATAACAATCTGTAATGTATGTAGAACCGATTTGAAATAATATAACTAATCATTATTCACGTTAAAAGTGTAATAATAACCTAGAGAATCAAACTGAGTTAAAAAAAAGAAATCTGTTAGTTTGTATTACTTTGGAAAAGTTAACTTATATGGTAATTTTAATTTTTTTTCATTAAATCAATGAACACTTAAAGCGATCATACAAATATCTTGATTGTTCGTTCAAAACTCGTTCACTATATATATCAATTTTATCAGCATAAACAAAATTTTATTAAAATTAAGCAAAATTGAACATTTAATAGTTGAATTCATGAGTCAGTTGAAGCTAGATCACCATGGAAGAACATGGAAGAACTGGACAGCTGTTTAGTCCTAGTATGGGACTCTTCAACAGTGTACATCTACGATCCCGCCTCGCGAGATTTGAACCCAGGACTCACTAGTCCCGCGCTGGAGCGCTTAACCACTAGATCACTAAAATCAAACATAGTTTAATAAAATAGAAATGGTTTTGTATTAGATATTTTATATTTTGTTAATGTACAATCAATGTCTGAAGTGAATGTTTGTATGTATCAGGCATGAAATATTTTTTTACGAGTAAATAAATATCCGTAAACAATTCGCTTGTTGTTTTATTTGTATCTTCCCATTGTTAGAACTGTAATTGATTAATCTCATGGCGTTTGAAGCGAAAGGTACTGGGTTTGAGTCCTAGGGTGAGCATCAACTCTGGGATGCAGGCACATCCAGCTGACGAAACGCGCGTCGTGGATTCCACTGCTAGCCACTAATAATCTTTGTTTATTGAGAAACAACTTAAAGAGTCAAAATAATATATTGAAATTTGAATGTCTTTAATGTGTGGTGTTATTGACAATTTAAACACTCTAAATTGAATAATCATAAACCCAGCACTAATCAATCACTTTTCTTGAAAACATTCTTTCATATCGATAGCAATTTATAGCAAGCGATCAAACTAACAATCCTATAATAGGCAGGAGCTATAACTTTATGAAATGAAAAACTGAGGCTATACTTTCAGAAGAAAGATGTTTAGCCTCCCTTTATACTCTTATCAACTTTTAATTTAACATGTAAACCATTATTTCATTTATAAAATGAATTTTACAAATGTATGCATCCTGATTCATATTTTTATAATTTAAAATTAACCGAGTAAAAAACAGTAATTGTATCTGAGATACTTATCTTCTACTTAATTCAAAGTTCCTTTAGTATTGCGTAATCTCTGATAAAATACTTTATAATGTAACTATATTTTTTTCATTTTTACAAACCTACGTCACTTATATAGATTCCAACTATTCAAGGAATTTTAGCTAATTTAAACAACACTTAAATACTAGTTATTTCACTGTTTACAAAGGCTAACAAACTTTATTTGTTCACAATCCTAAACCTATAACCTTTATTTTCAAATAAATGAACTTGCCTTTGATTTGTTTAATTTTTTTCGCGATCATTGAGCCGGAATTGACAATATGACAGTTCAGTGAAATATATTTCATTAGGTAAATAATTTTGAATATAAAATAAGTAAAATTGACACAAAATTCAAATTTACTCATGATGATGATGATGATGATGATGATGATGATGATGATGATGATGATGATGATGATGATGATGATGATGATGATGATGATGATGATGATGATGATGATGATGATGATGATGATGATGATGATGATGATGATGATGATGATGATGATGATGATGATGATGATGATGATGATGATGATGATGATGATGATGATGATGATGATGATGATGATGATGATGATGATGATGATGATGATGATGATGATGATGATGATGATGATGATGATGATGATGTTGACGTTAACGGATCACTCCATTCAACACTATTTATAACAAATTTTTTAAACATAAGGAAAACAGTTTTTGTATTATTGTCTTTAAATATTGCTTCTCTAATATAGACTAAAAATATATGCTTTATCTCAAATAAGCTTATGAATTAAGTTTACTCATTTCACTAAACGTATTCGATCAAACAATGAGTATCATGTTGAAGTTTCCGAATACTCCTTAATAGCTAATGATATAAATAGGAAAATTGTTTCGAATTAGTGATTAAAACTAAGTTCCATTTAATCGAATGCTAATATTTTGACAAACTGTCAAATGGATATTTTAGTCTGCTTGGCAACTGCGATAAGCTTTATGTTCTGCATAAAATCACAGTACTTTAAGAATAATAAAAGATGTAAACATCTGGTTGTAAAGAATTTTCTTAACACTAAGAGACTATACCCTTTAAATATTTATAAATCATAAGGAAACAGAAAGAAATGGGTGTGGTCTAGTGAACTTTATACAGAGTAATTATGCTTAAAAGTACATGGTAAACATTAATAACGAAAACTCAGATTTTTAGTTATTAATTAAATACTTGTAGACAAAACTAAGAATAAACTAAAGTATTAAATAATAGAAACAAATAAAGACTAAGACAGTGTACTTAAAGGATAAAATCACATCTTCATATTGATAAACTACTGTTAAAAACTGGAAAAACGCCCTACAGTTAATGAGTCATTCATAGTTTATTAAATCAAACTTTCAAACTTCTTAACAGCATACAAATGGATATCAGCACCAATAGAAGAATATTAAAACAAACATGAAAGATATACATGGATAGAATATGCAATAAATTATGGTCGAGTAAACATTCAGTATTTAAAAAGTAAACGGTGAATACATTGCCGTCGATGTGACTAGTTGATTATCTTTCCTTAAACCGTAACAAGATAGTCAATACCACTGAAATGTACTTAAACAAAAATATCAGTGAAGATGAATCTTTAATATGGTTTGTCATATACATTAACAGACTTTTTGGAGCTTAGTCCTCATTTGTTTAGCATTCGGGCTCAAAAAACGATGACTTCATTTGTATACTACATGATCTAACAATCTCATTCGCCACATTTTATCAGTATTAATATATAACATAACCTTGTCAGATTTGTCTTTAATTTTGACAGTTTTTATTCAACAGCTTCCTCATATTCTTCTAGGATATATGATCAATTACTTGACATACTAAGGTGCTTACTCTCAACTCTCAATCTCAACATAGAATTTAGACTGATCATATCCTTACCCTTCCTTCATTAAACAGTTTACTACCTAGCAGATAAAATGAGCAACGTTAGTTGATACTTTCCAAACAATACTCTTATATCTAAACAAAGACGTTGTAAGTGATTAGCTAATATGAAATAATGTTACTTTTCTATTATACAAAATGGTCTAAAAACGACTAGTTTGTTACCTAATTTTCCAGGGTATTGGTACAAATCAGTTTCGGGGGTATCATTCTACACTGTTACAAAAATAACTCCTAAACATTCATAGACTGTATGACAGCTTATGTGAACATTTAGACTAAAAACGCAATACCTATACATAAAGAAAAATATCTTTTAGCTGTATGACTGCAGATTGATACAAATATTTATCATAAAAATTTATTTAAATTTTCCCTATCTAAGTACTAATAACTTCTTTAAGTTTCAATCAGAAGAACATATTACCTAGCGATTATTTCGTCTCACTTTTATTCCAACAAAATAAACCTAATGGACGACCTCCTTGATCATGAACTTTTCTATCAATCATGATTTTCGTTGCAATGTAAGTGAATGAATTTGTTACATACACTGAAACCCTGCACTGATAGGTTGCTTTTATTTTACTGTGACTGCCCGAAAACAAAGATCATAAGAACTGTATGTTTCACTGAGTCAGCAAATAACATGAGATAGTATTATATAACTAGAGTAAAATAATTGTTCAAGAATATAAGTAAATTAAACTGAGAAGCTAAAGAAGAAAAATAATATTCTGAAATACTATCAGTCAGAGATGTTTCCTGTACAGTATTGTATAATTCTGAACTAGTACGTTGTTTTGAAATAACCTTTTACCTTCAACTTGATCCCAGAATAAATCATTAAATTATATTCTGATGAAAACGGGTTACTGAAAGACTAGGAGGTTATAGTAAATGTCGTGAAATCTGTTCGTTTGAGATTTGCTGATTAGTTTCGTGAATAAATTATCACTTTGGCGACCTAAGTTATTTTATTATATTTTATTAATTCAGTTGAATTGTTTTATAAACACTTTCAGGTCATAAATTAAATGACACAGTGATCTGTATAGGAAAACGTTTTGTAAAGACTGATAAATTCTATAGTTTGCATTACAAACTGATTGATAACTAGTGAGTACAAGGAAGCACTGGATAGTTGTTTTATCCTGGTACGATAGATGGAGCAATTCTAAGATAGAACCTAGGATTTCAAAGCTTCATAGTTAGCGCTTAATCACTGGTTTCTAAGTAAAGTCAGTTTGCGATGTCGTACAATAATCATTTGATGTCATTGGTGAGCAGCTGTCTATCTCATAACATGGTTGAACAGAGCAAAGTGATAATGATAGTCCTAAGTAAACATGAATTCCAATCTCACTATTCCCTAATTAAATTATCATAGTCAATTAGCGTTCAAAATGCATATTTTAAAAACCTACAGATTCTTTTGCTAAGTGATTGTCTATCTTGTAGCAACTCATTTGATCAGAAAAAAATTAAACTCGGTCAAATCTTGATTCTCTTAACTGATGAATAACGTGTAAAACTAGTATTCTACAATCATTCAACCTTCTGAATATAAAAATGTTTCATTTTCCTTAAAGAATTATAACCATTTACTTATTACTTTACCTACTCCTGTTACTCCTGACGGAGCATAGGCCGCCGACCAGCATTCTCCAACCCACTCTGTCCTGGACCTTCTTTTCTAATTCCATCCAATTCTTGTTCATTTTTCTCATGTCTATCTCCATTTCCAGGCGTGATGTGTTCTTTGATCTTCCTCTTTTCCTTTGGCCTTGAAGATTCCATGTGAGGGCTTGTCTTGTGACGCAGTCGGGTGCTTTCCTTGATGTGTGTCCTATCCACTTCCAGCGCTTCTTCCTGACTTCTCCCTCCGCTGGGATCTGGTTTGTTCTTTCCCACAGTTGGTTATTGCTAATAGTGTCCGGCCAACGGATTCGAAGTATTTTGCGTAGACAACTGTTAATAAACACCTGTTTCTTCTGGATGATGGCTTTCGTAGTTCCCCAGGTTTCCGCCCCATATAGTGAAACTTTCTTGACATTTGTATTGAAAATCCTGACCTTGGTGTTGGTTAACAATTGTTTTGAGCTCCAGGTATTCTTCAGTCGTAAATACACTGCTCTTGTTTTACCGATCCGCGCTTTCACGTTTGCATCAGATCCACCATGTTCATCAATGATGCAGCCGAAATATGTAAAGGTTTTTACATCTTCCAAATCTTCTTCGTCAATTGTGATTAGATTGGTGCATGCTGTGTTGTATAGGAGAATCTTGCTTTTGCCTTTGTGTATATTGAGACCGATTGCTGATGAGGCTGTTGCTACACTGGTCGTCTTCTCCTAACTCGCTAAAACACGCTAACCAAAAAAAATAACCATTTACTGATCAATAATTTATATCTGATGAAATCTATTCATTTGGATATTTGGCATTGATAATTCAATTTATCTAATGAAAAAAGTAGGTCAATCATTGATTACATTAATTTGGCTTATCTGTTATAACTGTATACATCAAGAAACTATTTTACTCTTTTATTATAAACAAGAAAAACATGCAATATATTAACTTTAATATTGTATTCCATTTAAATAACTAAACACTGATTGATTATTCAACAGTTGTTCTTCAGTTTGTAAATAATTTAAAAGAAAAAAATAGCAAGATCTTTTCATTAAAATAACTTTCATTGAAACCATTTATATTCATTAGCTTTAGATAATTGTCAAAATAGAAATTAATTTGGGAGAAAATTCAAAATTAATTAAGTATGACGTTTCTTTCTTTCTCCCAATGAATATTATTTGTTTTATTGCTCAAAAATATTATTATTATTATTTTATGAAAACTAGTGAAATAGATTTTAGTTTAAATTTTTATAATCATTTATCTGATCTATTTTTTTCTCTTTTATGTAATTGAAAAATAACGATTATTAAAAGTTAAATGGTTAACCGGTAGGATAGAGATACACGCATTACAGCTATAAATCAAGCAACCATTATCTGTGATAGTGGTGGTGGTGGTAATCGTGATAGTACTACTACTAATAATAATAACGATTATAGTAGTGATAGTAGTAGTATTATTATATATACCACTCAAAAAGGGAAAAGAAAAACACAATTATTGATTGAGGTATTGATAAACATAATAGAAATATCAAGTTATATAGTAGTTAAATAATTTTTTCCTAACTCTCTCTCCTAAAAACCAGTTTATATGAGGAGAAAAAAAGCACACGAATGGTTATATTGAGCAGTAGTGGGAATTGAAAATGCCACAGTTTATTCTCATCCGTTACATTATCATGTTGGTTTTATTTCTAAAACTTAATGAAATTTAAATCAATTTATTTAATTCAGATAACCAAATATATTTGAATTTATTCTAAAAATCCCATAGGAAAATATGAGAGAAGAATAGGATGAATAAAAAAGTATTTCAATATTGATTAAAGGAATACTTTGGATCAATAAATGGGTACTGTTCGTTTATATGATGCACATAACACAATACTTGAATATATTCCACTTGAACTATATGTATGGTGTGTATAGACTACTAAAGAGTTTTAAACTTGGACATCAGAGTTGTCCACTGTTCTTTTTTTTTGGTTTTAGGTAGTTTTCAAAGTGATATTAGTTTGTGGTGGGATTAATTGTTGAGCTATACAAATCTGTTGATAAAAGCTACCTTAGTAATTTAATTATTAATTATTATTCAATACACATATT